ACTCCCCAACCACCCACTTCTTTGTCTGATTGTCTTTTCTCACTGAAACATATGTTCCTCCTTCCAATGGCATTTTGAGCAACAGTTTCCATTTTATGTCCTTATTGACTGACAGTTTGATGGCAGGCTGTAAATGACTTGGCACGTGTTTTGTGAATCTGCTTGAATGCAGGCCTGGCTGCTTAGTACATGCATCCTTTTGCAGCTCTAAGGGCAAGAGATTAGTGTCATTTTAGCACAGGTTTGGGTAAAAAAAAAAAGTACTTGACCACAGTTGGTATCACCCTTATTTGAAGCTCAGCACTGTCCTGTACCAGATCCTGGGACATAACATCCTTCAGTTATGTTTGGCTTTCTCCATTTTCCTCTCATACAGTGTGGCATACATAAAGCTCAATGATGAATCAGGAATGGATCAGACAGCACAGGTAAGCATTCAGGCTGTCAGATGTGCAAGTTCAGAGAACATCTGGCCCTCTGTCAGCTGTCTTTGCTAACAGTAACACAGTTGATGCTTTGCCTTGTGTGGTACAGTCTTGTCTGTGTCTCTGGCCATGACGTTTCTACTGTAGCTATAACTGCAGGATCCAAGCAGTGCTGCATGGAATACACATACTCTTGACAGCTGAATTAAATGGCCACCTATAGGGAAACTGAAGTCCAGATAATGAGGTGTATAACTTTCAGCACAGTACTACTTACAGCCTCAAAATTCCAGAGCCCTGGAATAGGTGTGAGGGGGACATTATGCTTATGCTGGCCTCTAACAAGAGGAAGACATTACACTTATAACTATAGCTAACCCTATCACAGCTTTGTTTTCATAAGGATAAGAAGGATATGCTTCAACGAGAAGGCATTAGCCCACCACATTTATTTAGGGAAGCCTTTTGCCTTAAGTCTTTTAGGATAGGTATTACTGTTGTACACAATTCCTGCACTACTTCTGGCTGCTTACATCTTCCCTTGAAGAGGTAATTTAATTCCTGTGCATAAACCTTCTCCCTGCTACAGAGGTGGTGGGTCTGGATGTTCCACACTTCAAAAATACTAGCAAGGGCCAGATTATCTCTGTCTGTTGGATTTCTGTTGATATTAACTTCCCTCACATCCCACTGGAATCACAAAACAGATTATATGTACTTTACTGCAGAAAAAAAAGAGAACTTTGGGCAAGAATACATAGGCCCTATGATCTGATCCATCTTCTCTTTGCTATTTCCAACTACTTAAAGCATAATGTCACACTGAAGCATTCTCTTCTGACAGGTTGTTAATGATGCTTTTCTAAGGTGACCTTCATGAAACATGTTTCTTTTGAAGCTTATATTTCACTCGCAGGTCATAACATTTTCACACAGACAAGCAAACCATCAGCTCCCCATTTCTAATTAATAGTTCTTGGAGGCTTCTGAGTGGGGGATATAATTAACAGCACTTAAATTTGGAGTGCAGAGAAATCCATAGCCGACTACTAGGATGTGTATTTACTTGGGGATCATACATAAACAGCTCCTAAGTGCAGCCATAAAGACCTCTCAGCCCAGGACCATTCACTACCCCGAGTCTAACTCTTGTAAAGCACTCAAAAAAATTTCCCTGTTTATAAAGCAAGGCTCTGACACTGATGGGGTCCCTTCCTCCTGTACCCCTTTCCCCTGCCCCCATTCCCCACACCAGAGCCTACAGCACGCTGTGTTTCCTGTGATGCATGGTGAGTCTGCTTGCTAAAAAGCTGCCACAACCTTTGCTATGGTCCCCACTGCAGGTACAGCATCATCTGGGGCAGAGCAGATTGTGTCCTCACTGCATGGCATGTGTCCCAGATCAACTCTGGATTCACTTCAAGGCACAGCCATTAGTTTGTGGTTCTATTCAGTTTAAAGTACAATAAAAGGAGGGCTTTTTGTGCAGTAAAGCAATCAAAGAAAGGTGTTGTATTCCATCCCATCATACTTGCCTAAAGTTAAGGTAAGTGATGGGATTGGTTTGGTGCAATGCATGCATCATGGATTGTTAGAAGTGCTGGAGCAAAACCAGATGCAAGCCAAACTACCAGTTAAATCCCCTCTGGTCAGCTGCTGCTAACAGTGGTAGTTTCCCTACTGAAGTCAACAGAACAGCATCTTTTCACACATACTGAGTGTTCTTGGTGGAGAAGAGGCATCTGTGAGGCAGGATAAGTGCTCTTAAAGAACAAGATCACCTCTTGTTTTTTTGCAGTGGGGCAAAGAAAAAACCCCAAAAGAATAGAATTCATTCTCTGACAAAGTTGAAAAGCCTATGCTCTCCAGAAACTTCCCCACTTCCAGATGAAGGGGAGAACAGACATCAGAAATCCTGCACAACTCTGCAACCTGCATTATTTGGAGAGGTTTTAAAAAGAACTTGGCATGCTGAATGACACAAAATATTCAGATGGTTAAGCAAGTAAAAGCTGTTGAATATTTGTAACTCTGAAAGCACTAGGCAACAGACTATCACTGTCAACCCCTTTATGCAAAGGGATGTTTTGACATCGTACTTAAGACTGACTCCTTTTCTAATGGCATGAAAGTATTGCTTCAGTTATGAATAAAACAGGAAAACTACCACTGAAACTTGTGCAGCCTGGTTCTTTCTTCAGAAACAACACCACAGACTGAAACTGCCTTTGAAGAGAAGCATTTTTCATACACTGTCTCTGAAGGTTACTAACTCTTTTAATCTTCAGCCATTTTGCTAGCATGTGTGGTTTTAAATGCACAAAACACCCTGCTATAGATAAAGGTGCATCTGAAAATAAGATTGGAAATTAAGATGCTACATGGGGGCTTGGAACTAGGTGATATTAAGGTTCTCTCCAACCCAAACCTTCCTGTGATTCTATGAGATAATCTACAAATGCAGGCAATATGTGCTACTGAACCTAGTCAAGTCATATAGCTGTGTGACAGTTAGTGTAGGACTTGTGATAAATGCAAAGATATCTGGGAAAGCTCTGGAAGACAGTTCAGCCTGTTCTGGCTAATCTAGCTGGGCTGGGCTTCTCTGAATGAAGCACTTAAGTAGAAAAATAATGCATAAAGCCATAAAAATTGCTATTTATAGGCTCCAGAACACCTACATTCAGCTCTTTCTCACTTTTCCTGTGCCGCATGAAACAACTCAAGTCGAATATCACCCAGGTAAACCTATAAATGGCAAAATAAATCCTTTGTAGGTGAAAACCAAAAATAGCTTCAAAGAAGAATGTATATAACCTTGTTAATTTGCCAGAAGTTTTCCATCTTCATCACTTCAGAAGCAAGGTTAAGAGAGCAATAAAGGCTGACAAATTCAGAAGGTGTTCAAATATACCTTTATCTCAGGTCCAGAGCTTTAAACCTCAGAAGCAAAACAATGTCAGGGAGAAAAGATTGACAGTGATCTTTTGTGTTGGGAATCAAGGGTTGGAAGGACTGCCTGTAGCAGGCAAAATACTCATGATAATGATGCCAGTAAGATTTAATTTACCAGTCTGCTCTAGGAAAGGTAATGACCTTAAATATAATGGGGAACTTATCAAGAGGTCATCTGTGCAGACTTACACTGATTTATTTTCATAATAAATGGAAGTAAAAGTCCAGCCACATGAATTCGCTTGCAGGAAGGGATTTATACCATTTATCCAGCTTTGTGTTTAGTATCAGAAGAGTCTAAGAATATTTGATTGATATGTGGGGATTTAATTCCACTCCTTTGAGAATCTCTGCAGGAAAACATTTCAAATTCCATTTCTAACAAGATGAAAAAAAAACCCAAAACCTACAAGATATGTAATGGGGAAAAACATCACACCACGATAAGGATGTACCATTACAGATGTAAGAAGGGAATTGCATATGTTAAACAGCTTTCTCTGTGCCAGTCCATAGAAGCATTGACACAGCTAATTTGACTGGAAAAGACAAAAGCATGGTCATCATGCAAAAAAAAAAACAAACCCAAAAACATCTGATGAACTCAAAGGAAAATAGCAAAATGGCACAGGAGATGAGAGCTGCCACGTGTGCCATGCACACATCCTGTTCATGCTCAAGATCTATCAATGAATAAAGAATATCAAGAATTAATGTTCAGCTCAAGATTTATGAAGCTGGGCTTCAAGCAGTGAGTCACAGGCAGAGAGGAGGGATATTTATGGGATTTCAGTTCTTCAGAGGGAAAAAATATGAGAAAGTCAGAAATGACAGAGAAATGAGAGTGCTGGATGATGGCAAACATCATATAGGGAACAGGGGAGAGGGAGCTTTTGGCATCACTGCTGCAGCGCACATGCCAGTGTAACTCCTATTGATCTCTGGGGCCCAGCTCATTTCTACTGGAAAAATCTGGCTTCTGGGACTCCAGGTACAAAATGAAAACCTCACAATTTCTAGAGCACCAATGGTAGCATTTACCAAGTGTTTCCTCTTTTCAATTTTCCCCTGCAAATCTTTTTCTTTTAGGGCTAGTGCAAAATTTAGCAGAACAGCCAGTTTTCCAGCAGGCTTAATTTTGAAAGATGGACTGATCAGATGATTTAAGATTTGAAAGATAAAGTTAGCATTTGCCTATCCACTTTGAATTCTGATGGGATTTTCTATATAGAGATGTGTATATATATATATATATATCTGAGCATATACAGAAACACCAGGTTTTAGCTCTTCATAGAGGTAGCTATGCTATTTTCTGTTCTAAAGACGGAGAATATGTTAGGTTAGACATTTCTCCTAAGTAACTGCTGATGATTCTGATTTGCAGATATGTTAGTTTTTGTTATCTAGAAACTAAAGGCTCTAGGAAGGTGCTGATTTGCTCACGGAGGAGCATGTTATTTTAGCCACCGTTGCAGTGCTGTGTCTTTTTGGAAGCAACACAAACCTAGGAGCTTTCATTTCTTTTGTTTCATATTCCCCTTCTGTCCTCAAGAAGCCTATGGAGGTTTGAACAGCTTTTCATGTGTTGCAGGAATAAATCAATGTGTAAATCATTACCTCTAATTTTCCTGAAAATACTTCTTCAGAATTGCTGCTTCAGCTGCCATTTCTTCTTCTGTCCTCCACTTGTCAGGGGAATCCTCTTTGTCGTGTCTCTGCAACTTTTATTGAGGGAGAAAGAAGGAAAAAAAAGTGTCTGTTATTTTTTTTCCCTAGTTCTATTGTAAAATTCAGTGCATCCCTGTGTGCAACCCATCTAACTATTCCATGTGTCTGTGGTATTGAACGACCTGGTGATAAAGAGATAAGGGCAAAGGTTACGAGTTTAGAGTGGTGACAGTAGTTAACCGATTCTGATGGATTATTGATGATAACTCAAGGTGCCAGGATAAATGATAGGCAGTGACAAGAGCTCACCTTTGACTTGATGGTCAAGTACCTTGTGAGTCTTTGATGCAAAGCTGGTAGATAAGGTAATAGGAAAACAAACGCATTCAGGTATTCTGAAGTGCCCATTACATCAGTGGAGTGAGCGATGCAGGAGCTGTCTGGACACCTTGTCAGTAATTTATTTTAAATCTTCTCTAGCCTTTCCTCTGCCCATGGGGCCGCCTTTCCCATCAAAGACCTGTTGTGATAACAGGGCCCTGTTGCAGCTGTTTCCCAGTGGCAGCTCATATCTGTAGTTTTCAGAAGAGATACATTCCCTCCCTGCATGCAAGTTATTCATCCTTCCTTACCCTTGCTGAAAGGGAGACGTATCCCCAGTCTAGAAAGAAAACCTATTATTTTAAGCATAATAATGATGTAATGCAGGAAAAGACACAAAGTATGTGAAATATTAAATTTTTGCATCTAGATTGCTTAATATGCTCACAAAAGTAAGTTCTATCCCATATACAGTAAACTTTAAGTGATCTTATCCCAGACATGATGATTTCAAATACATCCTTTGCCCCTCCAGAAGAAGGGACAAGCTGATGGGTTTGCTGATCTCCAGAAGAAAGGACTTCTATTTTATAGCAAATATAACATGCCAGCACTAAGAGTGACTATTTCTACATATGTTCATCCAAAGACTGCCTGACACTCATATCAAGGGAATTTACAACAGACAGCAGAAGCATTTGCATTAATGGCTTAAGTATTGAGATTTCCAGTGTGTCTCTAGGAGCAGAGCACGGAGCGTATTAACAGCATCAGTGCTTCTGGGGAACACTGTAATATTGACTTTTTGTTAATGTCACAAAGTTGGAAACTAATGAATTTACACCTGGACAAATTTTAGCCCAGAAGATAAAGCAGTGAAAAAACAAAGATGAAACAATACTGAACCTGCCAAGCAAACTGCAGCACTGTCTATGGCATGTTTAGCAATAAACTAGGATTGTTAGCATACATCCAACTCACAAATACTTTTATTTGTGCTGCATTTCTCCTACTCTGAATTTTGCTGCCAGCTACAGTCCTATGTAGTTTTACATTCTGCAGCACAGATTTCTCCCTGCTCAGCAGATGAACCGCATCAGAAAGCTATTTCCTTTCATGCCAATACTATACAGTAGCTGTAGGCAAATCAGAGTGTATTACTGTTCAACTAGTAGAGGACTAATCTTCATTGTTATATTAGCTCTAGGTGTGTTATAAATCCACCTTGTAATAATGCTACAGAATTAAAGAGAAAGATTCAAAAGCCAGAAACTGGTACAGTGTGTACACTGTCAACACACCCTTTGTGTCCATGTGCACAGCACCACCCACTCTATACACCTATACAGTGCATAGGTACCATGGCTGAGCTGGTAATGAGAGGGAGCTCTAGGAAAGAGCATACAGCATCCTGTACTTTCCATGGACTGTGAGCACTTCCACTTCACAACAGGATGCACCAGGCCAAGCCAAGTGGTGGTAAATAAATTGTCTGAGGTGTGAACTGTTTCTCTAAAAAAAAAAGCACTGTCTTGCTCGATCGACCTAGCATCAGCAGGAGATACAGCAGGCAACAGCTAGAAGGCAAGGGAGAGCAGCCCCTGTTCCTCAAGGTCACCTTATTTAACCTGCAAGAAGTGCTTTCAGTGACTTGATTTGGCTGCTGTTCTCCCTTGCTATCCTGTTTCCATGCAACCCAAGTGACAGCTGACTCGAGGATGAGACTAGTAAAGTGCAGGTTTGACTTCTAGTTTTATTTTCATTTTCCCTGGTCAAAGAAACTGAACAGTAACAAGAAGGCATAGCCTGAAAAGGCTGGTTTTGTTGTCTAAATTAAAACTGTGTGAAGTCACAGACCATGGTGACTTCTCAAAGCTGGCAAAGGAGAGGATTTCTTTTGCTACACAACTGTTAACCTTTAAAAACAATAAATCTTTGACTTAAGGTTAACACAGACATATGGAGAGCAGTAATGAATTCTGAAACTTGCCTAGAAATGCAACATACCCCAGCAGCCCTAGCTCCTAGTACACAGCCTGCAATACCAGCACAGCAACACCAGCCAGGCACAAAGTGCTTAATGCAGCCTTACCATTCCCTGCTGTTCACAGACCTCTCATACTGAGATGTATCCACATTTCTTGGTATTTGGACAGCAATTCCTCCTGCAGGACATGGCAGAGGGGCTGAGAGGGGGGTCTGCCTACACAGAGGCCTGCATCACTGCAGACTGGAGCAAATACTAGCGTATGAAACCTTTTCTGTAGGGCTCCAAGACAGTTATCATTTTAAAACTGCTGGTACTTGGCCTGTTTTCATAAGAGACAAGATACTCTACTACGAAACTCAGAAAGCCCCAAATTCCCTGAGGTCAAACCCACTGCTATATTACAGGAGTGTCTCGGGAGCCCAAGCATTAAGAAAAAGGCAAGCAGCCAGATAAGCATAGTTCAGATAGCTCCAAAAGAAGAGGATGAGAGAGCATGAACATTTGAGACAATTCCTATTAATCCAACTTTTTCTTTTAATATTCTGAACAAGCACCAAGACACACATTAGTCACTTCTCTAATCGCAGCTGCCCAGCAAATTACACACTGTATCTGCTCCACATTCTTCAAGCAGTAAGACCCTTGTTTATAACTTACTACATCTTCTTGCCTTGCAGTACAAATAAATGCACTATTTCTATGATATGCCCTTCTTCAAGCAGATCATTACTGATGTCTGACTTCTTGGGCTTCCTGATAAATTATCCTCTTCTTTCACCTCAAGCAGAAAATGCTCTTCCACCAATAATCCATGACTGTCAGTCTTGATTACTTGTAAACAGCAGAGCTCCTGGAATATTTCTGCTTGTGAAAAGTGTTCATTTTCTCACTCCTGTCTCCCAGTGTGAGATGCTGGCAGACCTGACAGCTGTGCTTTATGTTATTGTATTAAAGTTGTTAGTGCTGCAGAATGGTCTACATTTTTATCACTGCAATTCTTCCGGGAAACACAATATTGTTTTATAACACAGTTGCATTGAGGAACCTCTCCTTCTTGCCCCTTTAGAGAGGAGCCCGATATTCTCTATGCAACAGATTATAGGAGACCTGGGTCTATGACTGCCTGTTGTTTGAAATAATATCTATATTATGGTTTGCTCTATTTATGCAATAATACTGGCAGAAAAACAACCTGGTTTAATACAGAGCACCAGCCAAAAGTATGGGGAAAAAAAGCATTTATGATATTTAGTACTATTCTCACTCCCCATGAATATTTACTGTTGATAGTTAGGAGCTTATAACCTCCAATGCATTTAACTGAAAGAAGAAAATATAGTGATGGAGAGTAATTACACCAAACTGCAGCCACACAACAAAATTCAGCTGCTTCAGCAATTATAAAATACAGTGTTATGAAACCGAGCAGTTAACAAAAGCCCCATGAATTTCTGCTAGCAGTTTGGATCAGGTATTAGGCATTACCCGGCTACTGGTCTCCATTATTATCAATACATCTTGGGATACCTAGGCCTCTTTTCCATGCTGAATTCCCACACTTGAGTGAAATCTACAGAGTAATATTTCAGCATCAGATTAACTTGTGAACCACGAGGAGGCTGCAAGTCTCATCTCTCTCCAGTAGATGGAGACACTGGAGATGAAAGTGAGTTCAGGCTGCTACACCTACTTCTTCCTCCCCTTTTGCCCTCCTCACCCTGGTCTTGTTGTCCTTGCTCTTTCCTCCCACCCCGAGATATCTTTCCTTTCAATTCTCTTTATATTTAGCTTATATCCTTATAGTAAGACTTCATTTTTACCCCTCCCCATACCATAATTGTGACATTTACTGCTATTATTAGTGTCTCCTTCTGTGCTCTATCCTCCCTTCACCCTCTGTTGTCTTTCTGAAGGGAGTGTGAGCTTTTTGGTGGGCAGCCTCCTCTGCCAAGTCCACGCTTCCTGTCTCCATCTCATTTTTCAGTTGCGGCTTGAGTCTCGACTTAATCAGCAATGTAAAATGAAAGGAAAACGGATGAAGCAAAATGTTTTCCCAAAGAAATTTCTTAGGGATGCTGCATTCACGTAGTCCTAAACTCAGTTTTACCTACCTAGGACTTAGGGGTAATCATTGCAGGAGCTCCCAGCCCTGGCAATCCCCAAGAAAACACAAAACACAGGCAGAGAACAACTGTGGCGTGTTCCCTCCTGACCACCTGAGAGATCACCTGCAAGATATGGTGCAAGAGATCTGTTTCTAAGCTCCTTTTACCATTTTCCCCACTCCACAGCCTGAGCAGCTTAGTCAGTTCATCTCTAGGCCTATCTATATTTAACTACAGCTGGAAGACTGCTGTAATTTAATTGTTCTAATTTACAGTGAACACTGCAGAAAAACACAACATCCTGTAATTTTCTCATCTGCTGACTTTGCTTAAGACTCTGTATCATACCGATATCTGCATTTGCATGAATCAGAAATCCCCAATTTTGGTGTGGCTTTTACTTGCTGTATTAAATTTGAGTTATTTAAGGAGATGAAGAAGCAGCCCAAGTTGCCTGCATTCTACGAGACACCATCTTTTAACTACCTATTGGAAAACCCTTCTCCAGTCGTTACACTACCTCTGCATGAAATAAGCTGCTACCTCCCAGCTGCTGCTATTGCTGCAAAGCATATATCCCATTGGAAACCTCAGTTTATCAAAGCTTCAGAGAGCAGTGGGTTTTTTTCCGCTCCTA